GGAGGCGCCACTGCCCCTAGGAGGACCACTGCCGCACCTGGAGGGCCCTTATTAATGCCGCCACCCCTGGGATGGTGCCTAAGGGTGTCACCCCCCCCCCCGTCTCCTTGGGAGGGCACCTGGGGGCGCCGCCTTCCTGGGAGGGATCTTAAGGGTGCCACCAATTTTGGGAGGGCCCCCACCGTCCCCTGAAGAGCCTTTTGGGGCGCTGCCACCAATTGGAGGGCCCCTGGCGTCCCCTACACCTGGGAGGGCCCCTGGAGGAGACGCCGTCCCTGGGAGGGCCCCTGTGGGCGCCTCCAACCCTGCGAGGACCCTTAGGTGCGCCACCGCCCCTGAGAGGTTCCCCACCGTCCCTAGGAGGGTCCACACTGCCCCTGGGAGGCCTCCTGGGGGCGCGGTCGTCATTGGGACGGACCCTGGGGGCGACCCCGCCCTTGGGAGGGCCACCGGGGGTGCCACCGCCCCTGGGAATTCAATTGGAGGCGCCGCCGCACCTAGCAGGTCCCCTTGGGGCAATTGTTTATGCACTATTTAGAACTGTAAGAAATATGCCGTTAAATAATTACACTGCCCATCGCATTTCCAGGATCATCACATCCTGAACAATGAAAAGGAGAATAAATAACTAACAGGGAAACATAAGTTTGGGTGTTGTGTTGACTGACTGTTCTGTTTTCCTATTGGCTGTAATTTGGTGGATTTACATTTTAGTCCACCAATCACAGACAAGTAAGGGATTGCTGGACTTATGCAATATGTACGGCTCCACGACCATGTGTGTGTCTCCCAGGAGAAGCTCTGTAGGGCCTCTTCCAGAGTGTCTCGCCGCCCATGGGAGGGTCCCTGATGGCTTCACCCCTACCCTGGGAGAGGCCTGGGGGGCATTAGCGCCCCTGGGGAGCTGGGGAGGCACTCACTGCCTCCTAAGGAGGGCCTCTGGAAACCCTCGCCCCTGAGAGGGTCCCTGTGGGCACCATCGCCCCTGGAAGGTTATCTGCCGTACCCTGGAGGGCCCATAGGATTTTCGCCAGGCCTGGGAGGGTCCCTGAGGGCGTCGCCGCCCCTAGAATGGCACCTGGGGGCGCTAGCGTCCCTGGTATTGCTCTTAAAGTGGCCAATGCCCTTGGGAGGGGCAACGCCACCTCTTAGAGGGCCCCTGGGGATTAAAATGCCCGTGGGAGGAACTATGTGAGCATCACCAACCCTGGGAGTACCCTTGGGTGTGCTAACACCCCTGGTAGAGCTCCCGCCGCCCCCGGGAGGCCCCCTGGGGGCGCCTCTGCCACTGGGAGGGATCCTGGGGTCGATGCCGCTCTTGGGAGGGCCACGTGGTGTGCCACCACCCGTAACAATTTCCTTGGAGGCGCTACCACCCCTGGGAGGCCCCCTGGGGGCTTCTGCTTCCTGTGGGGGCACCATCGCCCTTGTGAGGGACTTACCACTAATGCGAAGGCCTCTGGGGTGTTCAGTGCCCCTGGGAGGGAGGTGGAGGCTCTGCCGCCCCTGGTGAGGATCACTGCCGCCCCTATGAGTCCTCATGGGCAGCGTCGCCACCTCTGGGAGGTCCCCTCTTGGCGCCACTGCAACAAGCAGTTCTCCTGGGAGCAGATCTTCATACACTATTTAAATCTCTGGCAGATATGACGTTAAATAATTACACTGCCCATCGCATTTCCAGTATCATTACATCCTGAACAATGAAAATGAGAATAAATATCCAGCAGGAAAACATAAGTTTGGGTGTTGTGCTGACTGACTGTTTTGTTTTCCTATTGGCTGTAAATTAGTGGATTTACATTTTAGTCCACCAATCATCGACAAGTAAGGATTGCTGGACGTATGCAATATGTACGGCACCATAACCAAGCAAGCTATAGGGTTTTCCAGGAAGCCCTGGTGAGGCAACTGAGGCGCCACTGAGGGCCCTGATGGCGCCACCGACCCTGGAAGGGCCTTGGGGACGCAGTGACCGTGTGAGAGCTGCTGGCGGTCCTACTGCCTGCCCCTAGGGAGGGCCTCTGGGGACGACTTTGCCCCTGGGAGGGCCCCTGGTGGCGCCACTGCCCAAAGAGAACCACTGGTGCACCTGGAGGGACCCTAGGAATGCTGCCCAGCCCTGGGGGCGCCTGGGGCGTCAGCCCCCTGGGGAGGCTACCTTGAGGCGCTGCCTTCCTGGGGAGGGATCTTAGGGGTGCCACCAATCTGGAGGGCTGCTGCCGTCCCTTGAAGATGCCCTTGGGACCCCGCCACCAATTGGAGGGCCCCTGGCGTACCCGCACCGCTGAGAGGGCCCGGGAAGGAATCGCTGTCCCTGGGAGGGCCCCTGTGAGCGCCTCCAACCCTGGGAGGACCCTTAAGTGCACCACCGCCCATGAGAGGTCCCCCATCGCGCCTGGGAGGGTCCCCACTGCCCTTGGGAGGCCTCCTGGAGGCGCCGTCGTCATTGGGAGGGACCCTGGGGGCGACGTCGCCTTTGGGAGGACCACTGGAGTGCAACCGCCCCTGGGAATTCCCTTGGAGGCGCCGCCGCACCCAGCAGGTCCCTTTGGAGTAATTGTTTATGCACTATTTAGAACTCTAAGAGATAAGACGTTAAATAATTACACTGCCCATCGCATTTCCAGTATCATCACATCCTGAACAATGAAAAGGAGAATAAATAACCAACAGGAAAATATAAGTTTGGGTTTTCTTTTGAATCACTCCTCTCTTCTCCTTTTGGCTCTAATTTGGTGGATTTACATTATAGTCCACCAGTCATAGACAAGTAAGGGATTGCTGGACGTGTGTCATATGTTCGGCACCACGACCATGTATATGTCTCCCAGGAGGGGAAGCTCCTTGTAGGGCCTCTTTAGTGCCGCCGCCCATGGGAGGGTCCCTGATGGCTTCACTACCCCTGGGAGGGGCCCTGGGGACATTGGCGCCCCTGGGGGAGAAGCTGGGGGCGCTGCTGCCTCTAAGGAGGGCCTCTGGGGGAAACCCTCGCCCCTGAGAGGGTCCCTGTGGGCACCATCGCCCCTGGAAGGTTATCTGCCGTACCCTGGAGGGCCCATAGGATTTTCGCCAGGCCTGGGAGGGTCCCTGAGGGCGTCGCCGCCCCTAGAATGGCACCTGGGGGCGCTAGCGTCCCTGGTATTGCTCTTAAAGTGGCCAATGCCCTTGGGAGGGGCAACGCCACCTCTTAGAGGGCCCCTGGGGATTAAAATGCCCGTGGGAGGAACTATGTGAGCATCACCAACCCTGGGAGTACCCTTGGGTGTGCTAACACCCCTGGTAGAGCTCCCGCCGCCCCCGGGAGGCCCCCTGGGGGCGCCTCTGCCACTGGGAGGGATCCTGGGGTCGATGCCGCTCTTGGGAGGGCCACGTGGTGTGCCACCACCCGTAACAATTTCCTTGGAGGCGCTACCACCCCTGGGAGGTCCCCTGGGGGCTTCTGCTTCCTGTGGGGGCACCATCGCCCTTGTGAGGGACTTACCACTAATGCGAAGGCCTCTGGGGTGTTCAGTGCCCCTGGGAGGGAGGTGGAGGCTCTGCCGCCCCTGGTGAGGATCACTGCCGCCCCTATGAGTCCTCATGGGCAGCGTCGCCACCCCTGGGAGGTCCCCTCTTGGCGCCACTGCAACAAGCAGTTCTCCTGGGAGCAGATCTTCATGCACTATTTAAATCTCTGGCAGATATGACGTTAAATAATTACACTGCCCATCGCATTTCCAGTATCATTACATCCTGAACAATGAAAATGAGAATAAATATCCAGCAGGAAAACATAAGTTTGGGTGTTGTGCTGACTGACTGTTTTGTTTTCCTATTGGCTGTAAATTAGTGGATTTACATTTTAGTCCACCAATCATCGACAAGTAAGGGATTGCTGGACGTATGCAATATGTACGGCACCATAACCAAGCAAGCTATAGGGTTTCCAGGAAGGGAAGCCCCTGGTAGGGCAGCTGAGGCGCCACTGCCCAAAAGAGGGCCCCTGATGGCGCCACCGACCCTGGAAGAGGCCTTGGGGACGCCAGTGACCGTGTGAGAGCTGCTGGCGGTCCTACTGCCCCTAAGGAGGGCCTCTGGGGACGACTTTGCCCCTGGGAGGGCCCCTGGTGGCGCCACTGCCCAAAAGAGAACCACTGGTGCACCTGGAGGGACCCTAGGAATGCTGCCAGCCCTAAGAGGGCGCCTAAGGGCGTCAACCCCCCTGGGAGGGCACCTTGGGGCGCTGCCTTCCTGGGAGGGATCTTAAGGGTGCCACCAATCTCGGGAGGGCTGCTGCCGTCCCTTGAAGATGCCCTTGGGACCCCGCCACCAATTGGAGGGCCCCTGGCGTACCCGCACCGCTGAGAGGGCCCGGGAAGGAATCGCTGTCCCTGGGAGGGCCCCTGTGAGCGCCTCCAACCTTGGGAGGACCCTTAAGTGCACCACCGCCCATGAGAGGTCCCCCATCGCGCCTGGGAGGGTCCCCACTGCCCTTGGGAGGCCTCCTGGGGGCGCCGTCGTCATTGGGAGGGACCCTGGGGGCGACGTCGCCTTTGGGAGGACCACTGGAGTGCAACCGCCCCTGGGAATTCCCTTGGAGGCGCCGCCGCACCCAGCAGGTCCCTTTGGAGTAATTGTTTATGCACTATTTAGAACTCTAAGAGATAAGACGTTAAATAATTACACTGCCCATCGCATTTCCAGTATCATCACATCCTGAACAATGAAAAGGAGAATAAATAACCAACAGGAAAATATAAGTTTGGGTTTTCTTTTGAATCACTCCTCTCTTCTCCTTTTGGCTCTAATTTGGTGGATTTACATTATAGTCCACCAGTCATAGACAAGTAAGGGATTGCTGGACGTGTGTCATATGTTCGGCACCACGACCATGTATATGTCTCCCAGGAGGGGAAGCTCCTTGTAGGGCCTCTTTAGTGCCGCCGCCCATGGGAGGGTCCCTGATGGCTTCACTACCCCTGGGAGGGGCCCTGGGGGCATTGGCGCCCCTGGGGGAGAAGCTGGGGGCGCTGCTGCCTCTAAGGAGGGCCTCTGGGGGAAACCCTCGCCCCTGAGAGGGTCCCTGTGGGCACCATCGCCCCTGGAAGGTTATCTGCCGTACCCTGGAGGGCCCATAGGATTTTCGCCAGGCCTGGGAGGGTCCCTGAGGGCGTCGCCGCCCCTAGAATGGCACCTGGGGGCGCTAGCGTCCCTGGTATTGCTCTTAAAGTGGCCAATGCCCTTGGGAGGGGCAACGCCACCTCTTAGAGGGCCCCTGGGGATTAAAATGCCCGTGGGAGGAACTATGTGAGCATCACCAACCCTGGGAGTACCCTTGGGTGTGCTAACACCCCTGGTAGAGCTCCCGCCGCCCCCGGGAGGCCCCCTGGGGGCGCCTCTGCCACTGGGAGGGATCCTGGGGTCGATGCCGCTCTTGGGAGGGCCACGTGGTGTGCCACCACCCGTAACAATTTCCTTGGAGGCGCTACCACCCCTGGGAGGTCCCCTGGGGGCTTCTGCTTCCTGTGGGGGCACCATCGCCCTTGTGAGGGACTTACCACTAATGCGAAGGCCTCTGGGGTGTTCAGTGCCCCTGGGAGGGAGGTGGAGGCTCTGCCGCCCCTGGTGAGGATCACTGCCGCCCCTATGAGTCCTCATGGGCAGCGTCGCCACCCCTGGGAGGTCCCCTCTTGGCGCCACTGCAACAAGCAGTTCTCCTGGGAGCAGATCTTCATGCACTATTTAAATCTCTGGCAGATATGACGTTAAATAATTACACTGCCCATCGAATTTCCAGTATCATTACATCCTGAACAATGAAAATGAGAATAAATATCCAGCAGGAAAACATAAGTTTGGGTGTTGTGCTGACTGACTGTTTTGTTTTCCTATTGGCTGTAAATTAGTGGATTTACATTTTAGTCCACCAATCATCGACAAGTAAGGGATTGCTGGACGTATGCAATATGTACGGCACCATAACCAAGCAAGCTATAGGGTTTCCAGGAAGGGAAGCCCCTGGTAGGGCAGCTGAGGCGCCACTGCCCAAAAGAGGGCCCCTGATGGCGCCACCGACCCTGGAAGAGGCCTTGGGGACGCCAGTGACCGTGTGAGAGCTGCTGGCGGTCCTACTGCCCCTAAGGAGGGCCTCTGGGGACGACTTTGCCCCTGGGAGGGCCCCTGGTGGCGCCACTGCCCAAAAGAGAACCACTGGTGCACCTGGAGGGACCCTAGGAATGCTGCCAGCCCTAAGAGGGCGCCTAAGGGCGTCAACCCCTGGGAGGGAGTGCTGCCCAGGGCGCTGCTTGCTTCCTGGGAGGGATCTTAGGGGTGCCACCAGTCTCAGGGAGGGTGCGTCCTTGAAGATGCCTTGGGGCCCGCCACCAATGGAGGCCCCTGGCATGCCCGCACCGCTGAGAGGCGGGAAGAGTCGCTGTCCTAGGAGGCCCTGTGAGAGCGCCTCCAACCTTGGGAGGACCCTTAAGTGCACCACCGCCCATGAGAGGTCCCCATCGCGCCCTGGAGGTCCCCACTGCCTTGGGAGGCCTCCCTGGGGGGCGCCGTCGTCATTAAGGAGGACCCTGGGGGCGACTTGTCGCGCTTTGGGAGGACCATAAGGTGCAAGCCGCCCCTGGGAATTCCTTGGGCGCCGCCGCACCCAGCAGGTCCTTTAGATGGTATTTATGCATATTTAGAACTCTAAGAGATAAGACGTTAAATAATTTTTTGCCATCGCATTTCCAGTATCATCACATCCTGAACAATGAAAAGGAGAATAAATAACCAACAGGAAAATATAAGTTTGGGTTTTCTTTTGAATCACTCCTCTCTTCTCCTTTTGGCTCTAATTTGGTGGATTTACATTATAGTCCACCAGTCATAGACAAGTAAGGGATTGCTGGACGTGTGTCATATGTTCGGCACCACGACCATGTATATGTCTCCCAGGAGGGGAAGCTCCTTGTAGGGCCTCTTTAGTGCCGCCGCCCATGGGAGGGTCCCTGATGGCTTCACTACCCCTGGGAGGGGCCCTGGGGGCATTGGCGCCCCTGGGGGAGAAGCTGGGGGCGCTGCTGCCTCTAAGGAGGGCCTCTGGGGGAAACCCTCGCCCCTGAGAGGGTCCCTGTGGGCACCATCGCCCCTGGAAGGTTATCTGCCGTACCCTGGAGGGCCCATAGGATTTTCGCCAGGCCTGGGAGGGTCCCTGAGGGCGTCGCCGCCCCTAGAATGGCACCTGGGGGCGCTAGCGTCCCTGGTATTGCTCTTAAAGTGGCCAATGCCCTTGGGAGGGGCAACGCCACCTCTTAGAGGGCCCCTGGGGATTAAAATGCCCGTGGGAGGAACTATGTGAGCATCACCAACCCTGGGAGTACCCTTGGGTGTGCTAACACCCCTGGTAGAGCTCCCGCCGCCCCCGGGAGGCCCCCTGGGGGCGCCTCTGCCACTGGGAGGGATCCTGGGGTCGATGCCGCTCTTGGGAGGGCCACGTGGTGTGCCACCACCCGTAACAATTTTCTTGGAGGCGCTACCACCCCTGGGAGGTCCCCTGGGGGCTTCTGCTTCCTGTGGGGGCACCATCGCCCTTGTGAGGGACTTACCACTAATGCGAAGGCCTCTGGGGTGTTCAGTGCCCCTGGGAGGAGGTGGAGGCTCTGCCGCCCCTGGGTGAGGGGTCTGCCGCTTCTGGTCCTCGCTAGGCAGCGTCGCCACCCCTGGGAGGTCCCTCTTGGCGCCACTGCAGCAAGCAGTTCTCACAGAACAGATCTTCATACTATTTCGTCTCTGGCAGATATGACGTTAAATAATTGCACTGTCCATCGCATTTCCAGTATCATTACATCCTGTACAATGAAAAAGAGAATAAGTATCCAAAAGGAAAACATAAGTTTGGGTGTTGTGCTGACTAACTGTTCTCTTTTTCCTATTGGCTGTAATTTGGTGGATTTACATTTTAGTCCCCTAATCATCGACAAGTAAGGGATTGCTGGATGTATATCATATGCATGGCACCGCGACTAAGCAAGCTATAGGGGTCCTAGGAGGGGAAGCCCCTGGTAGGGCCGCTGAGGCGCTACCGCCCAATAGAGGGCCCCTGATGGCGCCATCGACAGTGGAAGAGGCCCTGAGGACGCCAACGTCCCTGTGAGACCTGCTGGGGGTGCTACTGCCCCTATGGAGGACCTCTGGGGACGACCTTGCCCCTGGGAGGGCCTCTGGAGGCGCCACTGCCCCTAGGAGGACCACTGCCGCACCTGGAGGGCCCTTATTAATGCCGCCACCCCTGGGATGGTGCCTAAGGGTGTCACCCCCCCCCCCGTCTCCTTGGGAGGGCACCTGGGGGCGCCGCCTTCCTGGGAGGGATCTTAAGGGTGCCACCAATTTTGGGAGGGCCCCCACCGTCCCCTGAAGAGCCTTTTGGGGCGCTGCCACCAATTGGAGGGCCCCTGGCGTCCCCTACACCTGGGAGGGCCCCTGGAGGAGACGCCGTCCCTGGGAGGGCCCCTGTGGGCGCCTCCAACCCTGCGAGGACCCTTAGGTGCGCCACCGCCCCTGGGAGGTTCCCCACCGTCCCTAGGAGGGTCCACACTGCCCCTGGGAGGCCTCCTGGGGGCGCGGTCGTCATTGGGACGGACCCTGGGGGCGACCCCGCCCTTGGGAGGGCCACCGGGGGTGCCACCGCCCCTGGGAATTCAATTGGAGGCGCCGCCG